TTAAACATTCATACGAAAAAAAGAGAAACGAATGTTTTGGAAAAAAATTTCCATTTTGAAAATCAATTTCCTATATTGGAAATTGGTTTCCTATTTTAGAAATTAGTTTCCTAATTTGAAAAATCAGTTTCCAAATTTGAAAGTTTGTTAATTAAAATGGAAATTAGTTTCTTAATTTAGGTTTAAAAATAATATGAGAAATTGTTTCTTAATATGGGCCCTCTCTAAGAATATCTAACCTAATTTATTTGGATAATCTAAATTAATTGGTAAATAATTAGACCAATAGGCTTAAGTTAAAGCTCGTAAGATATTTTTGATGGATGAATAATCTTGAGCAATAAAAGATAAAGCCTAGGGTTTACAAGGATAAGGTTAAATTAAGCTCACACAAGTTGTAACTACTCGTTGAAGAAAGAAGTTGCTTGCCATATATATATAGGGAGACACACACACATAAGTGCATAAAAATTAGAAAAAGTGTGTGTCTCTCCTATAAAATAAGAAAAGTGTGTTTCTTCCTTGAAAGGAAAAAATTTATCGTAACTTCCTCTCTTAAATTTTGAGTGAAAACTATACATAACAAAAATGGGAGGAGCTAGCACTCTCTAATTTCTACTACTTCTTATTAGGGTGTTTCAGCTCCGAGGATCATCGGTAGAGATCGAATGCTTGGATAGTTCTTTTCACAAAAAAAAAAGAAATGATTTTTGTGCTATGAGAGGTAACTTCTAATCATGTTGTTATTAGCATAGTTAGTTGATTCAATGATTGATCCTAGAAACTTTAGATGAAGGAGAATAAAAGTTTTTGTTTATTCTACACCTTCATAGGATGTATGATTTTTTAAGCAATGTTTTCATGTATTAATCTCCTCTTCACAAATCCAAACTACTATCTCAAAATAAGGCTAGGCAACATTGCACTTAGACACGAGGTTAAAATGCGATAAAAGATTTTATATGCAAAATTACATAGACTTATAGGTCACATATTAGAAAATTTTATAGGATGAAGGCATTTTGGTATAAACACCATAGCCGTAGTAGTCATATCCTAAAAGGTCCCTTGAACAATGCTAGAATCAATTCTAAACTCCCTCATAACCTAACAAAAATCCTTTGCCTACTATTTATTTTGGCTCTATATGAACATAGCCAAAAATAGCCAAAACCAATGTAACAACCCGGACTTAGGACCTCGTAGGTCGGGAATATTACTACCATTGATCCGCATCGAAGTGCAATGAATGCAAACCAACAAAGCACTAAGTCTTTCCTATGACGCTACTTGGTATGGATTATGCTTCAAAAACCTATAAATAATGGATAGGTCCTATGTTTTAGTCCAAAATGAACTATAAATTTTTTTCATTTTATTATTTTATTTAGAATATTTGGACTAAACAAACTGGATCCATGATGCTCAGCTTTCCTAAATTCCTTTTCTATTGGTCTATAGGAATTTAATTATTAATTACCCATTAATCAATACTTGATTTATTTCATTCATCTTAATTACCCTTATTATTATTATTATTATTTTGATCATTAATTTAAAGATTCTAATTTATTATTAGCATTCATATGTAAACAATTAACTAAAAGAAATTAATACTAACCACATCTAAGTCACTACATTAATACTGATTTGTTTCAAGTTTAGTTACATACAACCACATCTATTTAATTACAAAATAACTTATGCCATCTACTACAAAAATGGCTTATTTACTTATTTACATCATATTTTCAACCATTGTTCTACTTGTTCATAACTTTGATTATTGCATAGAATAAACTTGTTATACCTAGTACATATACCATAATACTAAGCACTAGAGAAAGTATTTTATGTAGGAGTTCTACCTTAAATCCAAAGGCCCACCTAAGATAAATATGGTGTATGGACCCTTTAAAGATCAGCTTAACAAGTAAACATTGCCATTTTTACTTATATTATCGACACCATAAGAAAATAGGTAAGCGACAACTTAGCAAGTTAATCTATGCATGTTATGCATATATATCAAATGCATATGAAAACCATTTGCATGCTCGTCTTAAATCCTTTTTCATGTAATAAAATCCTTATCATGATTAGTCTGAAAATCTTTTCTATTTTTAGGCATGTCCCATCGTAGGTACTTTAGGGTTTCCATAATATGTTTGGAGAACCGGACCCATCTACGTACACACCCTGCCGAGTCACGTCCGCACTTACCCGGCCCTAAACCATGAATAATAAATGGTATGAAAAACCATGAAGCCCTCTTCATTAAAAATCATGAAAACCAATATCCATAAGATATTTCCAATTGCTATTAGAAAAGCTATGCCATAAAATCCTCTTTTTTCATGACTTTATACCATTTTCATAAACTTGGGATGCATATGCATTTTATTAGGAATGGATAACCATTATAATTTTCATGAGATGCATGCCATGAGTGAGATGCATTTATGCCATAACAATGCATGTTTGAACAACATAAAATACATCATATAAATTACCCCGTAAAATCATTCAAATCATTCCAAATCATTCCAAATCATTCAAACAATAACACAATTATTCCATACAAAGCAATGCACTTTCATAATCATCAAAATCACAACTTTCACACATTTCCAACACATCATACACATTAATTGGCACTAAAGGAACCAAATTACAATTCAATTCCTCAAACCAAAGCATAAACCCTAAAATTTCAAACTTAGGTCGAATGTTACTTTAAATTTAAACCTAGTATTTTCTTTTAATTTTAACACCAATTTCTCATGCTAATTCATCCAATTATATATTAATACGAAGAACTTAATCAATTTGACATTCATAGGTTAAATGTCTACATAAAACCTAATTTGGGCCTAATTAAGGTAATCTAAACTAATAGTCCAATTTCAATGCAATTTCTTATTCTAATTCATCCTATTAAATTATTTTAACTTCAAATTAATCAATTAAACCATTGATAATTAAAAATACTTAAACCCTACTTTTCTTCTAATTTGGGCTGAATATTGGCCTAGGCTAATTAAGTAAAATTTTTCAATTTGTATGAAATTTCTCACTCTTATTCATCAATCCATACTTAATCAACTCCAAATTAACCAATGATTCATTAAGTAAAGGAATCAAAACCCAAAAAATTCAAATTTTGGGCTAAATGGGTCCTTAAGGAATTCAAGGAAATTCTTCATTTTTAATGCTTTTTTTCATACTTAATCATCAATTTATACCTAATTAACACTTAATGAGGTGATAAATCATCAAACCAAGCAAAGCATCAAAAACCCTAAAATTCAAAATTTGGGTCGAAGGCTTTCTCTCTTAACCTTAGAAATTTTGTATTTTCAATCATCAATTTCAAACTTAATTGACATGTTTTAACTTCAATTGAATGAGTTTCTAACTCAAATTCATCTTTTTTAATTTTTCCGTATCAAGAGCCCTAATTATAATTTTTAAAATTAAGGTAAATAAACATAAAATTAAGGCACCAAACCATCAATTGACATGAATTAAACACTCCATGTGGTATAGGTAAGATTAACTTACCCAAATAAGCTCCAATATGTTCTTGAAAGATTTGATTTTTTGAAAATTCCTTCCTCCCTCTTTTTCCTCTAAATTCGGCCCAAACTCTAGTTTTTCTCCTTGATCAATTTCGACCTTCTAGCTCGAATTCCTTGCTTAATTAAGTGGTTTATAGTGTTTAGGTGAATTTTAGGTGAAATTCCTATGGAAATTTAGCAAGAGTTTCCCTAGTATTTCTCTATTTTTCTTCCATTTTCCTCTTTTTCTTGCTTCCATGTTTATAGGAAAAAATTTGGTGGACTTTTGATTTAATCTCCACCCTTAGTTTGGTACAATCCTAGCCCTTAATTCATCTTTAAATATTGGCCTTTCAATTGGTTTAATCTTAGCCTTTAATTCTTCTTTTAATTTTAGCCCTCCATTTAGCCAAATCTCAACCCTTCCTTTTAGGCTTAGTCAAACCTCAATTACCAACCCCCAATCATAAACTCTAGGTTGGCAAAAATGGGGGAGGAATCTCTCCTAAAAATTGCTTAATTTTGGTCTTTAAAGTTGCTAATTTTTCTAGAATTACTCCTCCATAAGTCCCTCAATTATCAATTAATTACTTTAGGTTCTTCCTTTAATAGTTTTTTAACAACTTTTGAATTCCTAAAGTTCATATCTAATTTAATTTGAAAGTTTAAACTTTTAATTTTGTTCAATTAGGTCCCTAATTCTAAAATTTTATTCCATCTCGGTCCAAAATGCAATTTCTTTTTATAATAAATTCAAATGCCTCTTAAAAAAATTTAATCATCATTCACTCAATTTTTATACACTTATTTAGGCCTTCAAATTAATTATTTTACATAAAATTACACTTTTTCCTATAGAAAATATTCTCTTTGAATTGAAAAATTCATCTAAGTTCATGAAATATTCCTACACACCTTATATGATTTTTTTTATATCCATTGGATAATTTTTATACATCTTTAAAGCACTCAAATTAATCAATTTACCTTAAAAATACTATTCATACATAATAAAGTTCACATAAAATAATCATAGAACTTCAAAAAAATTCATCCAATACCATCGAATAATCTAACACTCTCTTAACAAATATTCTATGCAAAGAAAGCATTTTTCATGCACTTTCATCATGCTTAAAATAATTATTTCACATAAAAAATTGTTAACACCTAAAATTTTTCCCAAAATATAAAAAAAATTAAAAAAAATTAAAAAAGAAAAGGGATTAAAAAATAAGATAATTAAGGTATGTGGTTGAAGAATGAGACAGAAAAGGGCCAAAATAAAGCGAGTTAGCGAGATGAAAGACCAAATCAAACTTTTATCAAAAACCCTAAAAACCAAATAAAAGCCACTTTTTTCTCAAAAAGTGGGGATGATGGTTCACTTCCTCAAAAAAAAAAAAAAAAACAACAACAACCCTAGCCCCTAGCCTCTACGCAACTCTCCCTTGCCATAGCTCGCCAACGCCGGACCACAACTCACGCCTCCACCAGCCATAGGCCTTAGCCCCTCTCTCCACACCACACACGACCGATGCGAGCATCGACCCACGTCCCAACCCGCCGTAATAGCCTCCGGAGCGCACCTCAACACAAGCCCACGCCCTAGCCTCGCTATAGTAGCCTCCAATGCACGGCCCAGCCCTCTAACACTCACCCATGCTCGCAGCGAGTCGCCACGACCAATTCGGCGCTAGCCGACCAACGCCGACACCCGAGCTAACCGGTGCCAACACCCGCCAACCATCGCTAACACCAATGTTTACCAACTAACGCTAATACTCGCCCATCGGCGCCATCGCTCGTCGACCAAGCACTTACCGGCCAGTGCTAGTGCCAACGCCTACCAACCAACGAACTACTCAATAGCACCGAGTGCTTAGCTAAATTACGTCGGCGCACGCTAACTAACGCCACCACCGACCAACCAAGCACTGGCGCCTTCAGCGACCTCTCGAGCTAGGCGTTGCGGATCCGACAACCGCTACTCTTAGTTGTCTTTCCTCCTTGATTGGCTAAATATCGGTCTCCATCGGGATTGAAAAGAGTCCGAACGATCCCAAATTCAACCGACTAGTCCGCCTCCTTTGTTTTTTACGGTAATCTTTTTTTCACTTTTCATTTTACTTTATTTATTTTTATTATTATTATTTTAACATGTATTATATGTGATTCGTATCGGTATGTGCCTCGTAATTGATTAATTGATTGTATTGTGTAATTAATATGCTCGTTGTTCATGTGTAATTTATTTGAATTGTGGTGATGTGTATTGTTGATTTTGCTACTTGGTGAATGATGTGTTGGTTTGGACTTTAGGATACTTGTTATTATTCCATACATGTATTTTTTTAACATTCCTTACGTGGTAATTTTATATATAAAAAAAGACACAACGTCGAATCAAGCAAGTTTAAACTTTTTCCATATAAATATGTATTCATCACATAATCAATTATGTATGTCAAAACAGACTAGTTTCATCGATTTTGTTTCTTTTGTCAATTTTAGTCCGATTGTCAATTTTTGTCAATTTTTACCTATGATTGCTTATGGTGTCGATTTTTACTTTACTTTTGCCTTAATCGTAGATTTTTGCCTATGACTCGCTCGAATTATCGATTTTACTTATTTTTGCCTACGATTGCTCGAATTATCAATTTTTGATTATTTTTGCCTTAATTGTCGATTTGTGTCAATGATTGTCCGAATTATCGATTTTTACTTATTTTTTTCCTTAATTGTTGATTTTTTTCCTATGATTTACTAAATTGTCGATTTTACTTATTTTTGCCTTAATTGTTGTTTTTTGCCTATGATTGCTCGAATTGTCGATTTTTACTTATTTTTTCCTTACTTATCGATTTTTGCCAAATTATTGATTTTTGTTGTTTTTGCTAACTTGTCGATTTTTGCTTAATTTTTTATTTTTTCCAACTTGTCAATTTTTGACTATTTTTAGATTTTGTTTATTTTTCCTAGTTGCCAATTTTTACCTATTTATCGATCTTTGCCTATTTGCCAATTTTTGCCTATTTGTCAATTTTTGCCTAATTGCCTACTCGTCGATTTTTCCTATCTTCCAATTTGCTTATTTACCAATTTTGCTAATTTATTGATTTTGCCATAGTTCATCTCGTTTATCTATTTTTGCCAATTTTGCCAATTTTGTCTATTTGCCTATTTGTAGGTTTCACGAATCTGCTCGTTTTATCTTTTTGCCTATTTTCCTATTATTTTTAAGTTTTGTTTTCATGCACACTATCTAAATTGCATTAATATCACATCCCGGCATTCATCATTTTTTAGCCATCCATTACGGAGTAAGGATAAGGTCTCCGACCGGCCAAGTCTCAAATCACTCAACTAGTGGCTAAATGCTTGAAAAATAGGTAGTCTTTCATCATCAAAAATCAAAAATCAAGTCGGTTTAGTAAGTAATACGACTTGCCTTAAGCGAGGATGAGGTAGGGTGATCTTTAATCTTCCGTACACATAATAAACGCCTTATCCGAACTCGAATAGACCATTCATAGGATTTCCTAGTAACTATAATACTAGGTGGCGACTCTAATTATTTTTACCTATTTTTCCTATTTTCACCTCAACTCGTTGCCCTTGCCACCGACGTCGCCTTGCCACGAATGGCGACTCCACTAGGGAATATACTTAGGGTTAGGCTTTGCATGAAATTTTTGAATTTGATTTCAAATGATGTGATGAACTTTTATGCACGTATGCTGATTTATGTAATTTGCCTACCTCGTATAAATGCATGCCTTTACGCCATTGTTTTCCTTGTATTTTTATTTTTGCTTATTCATTTATTCATTCCTTTTTGTGTCTTTATTTGTGCCTTTATTTTTGTGTTTGGGACTAGATATGGAATAATGTTTATGCACATACTACACTCACCATTACCTTTATGTTTATCACATACTTGCCTCAAGACTTAGGGAGGTAGTAGTGGCTTGATGGGTTTTGCCCCGGATAACACTCACGAAATCTCAACTCTTCATTCTAGTCGCTAAAGAGCGATGGGTAACCGATGATCTTTCACACTTACCAATCATCACCTTTAGTGGCCCCAACGATTCTATTATGATTCGTTGGGCTTGGAGGAACCCTTTTGAGACTTAGATAGATAATATCCTATTCACGTAATGACTTAGAACCGGACCTTAGGATCTTACCTAGTAAATGTCATTAGGCAAGTCAAATATATTGAAATCTTGATAAAAAAAATTTGATCACGATGTTTCGGGATGGATGATAAGAGGATTTAAGTCTAGTTTATGCAATGTCCGAATACTAAAGAATTTTCAAAGCTCGGTTAGAATATTTTAAGGGTAATCGATGAAACCAATTTGGGATAATGTCAAAGAATCAACGATTGGATCCTTTTATCATCCCCACATGAAGGCTATTTCATATTTAGTCCCGAGTGTCATTTTATTTTTAATATATTATCTATATTTTGTGTTTGTTGTCATTTTTCTAAGTAGAAACATAGGTCAACTCGCCAAAACTATACTCGCTCTCACGTATTCACCACACTAGAGTAAGAAAAAAGATGAAAAACGAGAAAGGGCTCTACTTTAGCAAAATTACCATAAGGAGATAGCTACGCTAAAGGAAAAAGTTGTTAGAGCTACTGCTCTATAGGAACAAAGTCAGCAAAATCGTATGTCTTCATAGATTATCATCCAAAGAGAAGTTGGCCGGTCATCGACTTTCCCGGAAGGGTTCACCACCATACCACCACTAATTAGTCGATTCATCGCTCCCGTACCTTCTCCCGGTATGCCTTATTTAGAGCCTACCGGTACTACTCGATCATGCTAATTATCCTACACTAGGGGGTATGTATGAATTTTCTCCTAGACCTCTAAGCCCATCTATTATGTTGCCTCTAACTCGTCCAAATATCGATAGCAACAACTACCGATTTTGTCACTAAAGAGTTGGCCAAGGAAAAGATAGCCTCAAAACTTGAATCGAGAAGCTCACAACCATTGAAGAATGCTTGAGAGCTATCGAAGGTGTGATTGTGTATGATCCTCTCCTCAATATAGATAAATGTCTAATGCTGAATATGGTGATTCCTCAAAAGTTTAAAGTTCTTGAACTTGCCAAGTACACCGAGAGTTAATGTCCTAGGACTCACTTAAGGATCTATCTAAACAAGATGGATGAGGTAGCATATGATAAAAAATTATTGATTCATTTCTTTCTTGAGAATTTCAATGGGTCTCGCTCTTAATCGGTTTATTGACCTAGACCAAGCAAAGATCAAGAGGTGAAAAGATTTGGTGGATTTATTCATGAACTAGTACAAATTTAATTTAGAGATAACACATGATAGATCTAACCTATAGTATATAGAAAAAGGCTTGAGGAATCGTTAGGGAGTATGCCCAATGATGGAGAGAAACAACTTCTCGCATTCGCCCTTCCCTTTTGAGAAGGAATTAGTCATTCTTTTCGTCAACACTTTCAAGGACTCATATTATGACTATCCACCGAGTAATAAGTCAAACAACTTTGTGGAGATAGTGGTTCGCTGCAAACAAAGAGAACAAGCCATTAAGTCGAGAAGGATAACCGATCCTTTAGAATTCGGACACAAGAGGAGTAACTTTAGCTAGAGAAAAGACCAAGAGGTACACCAAATTGGAGGATGTTCTTTCATTCTTAAGGGGTAATGGAATAACTCTTGGAAGAATAACGATCAATTTAGCCCTCAAAACAACATGCCTAACCTATTCGTTGTTCATAATTTCCATAAATGCCAATCTAACCAACATAGCCAGATCGATGACCCTAAACTCAAACTTTCCCACAATACCAAAAGCCATACAACCTTTACCAAACCATCCAAACACTTGTCATACCCCAACACCAATCTTAAAAACACTACCGAATACACAACAATTCATAAACCAACTAAGACTACCCAATCAAAACTCTCCAAGGAATACCGATAGGGGAATTCAACCATATATTACTATCACTTCCTATACCTCTTGGTAATCTCTTTGAGCATCCGGTAACCGTGGTTCGGATAACTCCTATGACACTTGCACCACTCCAGTCACCATTCCCTCATTGGTATAAGCCTAATGAAGTTTGTGTATACCACAATGGTGCCAATGGTCATAATATTGAGAATTGTGTGAGCTTCAAGAAAAGGGTATGAAATTTGATTGATCAAGGCTCGATTGCATTTGAAGATTCCTCAAATCCTTCGAACATTATTTCCAATCCTTTGCCAAATCATGCCATTACTCGGAAGAGTAAACACAATATCATTGGATTACATAAAATGAGTTAGGGAGAGGAGTCGTGTAATTTGTTTGATGAAAAAGTGCCTATTGTTTCCAAGTCCGAGTGGTTCTTTTATTATGGTTATCTTTTCCTTTCGTCCTTACAATATTATGTGGAACTTTTTATCATGTTTTCCTAATAACGTTATTTTATGAGATTATGCAAATTTTTTTCATCTCTCGCCTACTTCTTTCCATTCATCTTATTTGTATTCTCTCTTTGGGATGTCCAATATAATCATATCCTAAAACCATTAAATGACTCGCTAAAAATTATTAGCCTAACTTTGATGGCACTCGAATAAAGAAAAAGTGTTATGATTTTCATGGATTGAGTCATTTCTTTGAATAGAAAAAGGAATTTATATTGTTTTAGCATGATTTATTATTAATCGAGAGATGTTTATTTGAAAGTATCATTCGTCATTTTATGTCATCCAAGTCAGAAAAAGTAAAATGGTGAATGCATTCAACATATTTCAAAAGTGATCAATTGTCAAAACATGTCATGCAAGTGGTAGGGGGCAATTCTTTTTTTATGAAAACCAAAAATAACTTTTCTCTACGAGCCTTTCTAAGACAATCAAATAATATAATGATGTCTTAAACAAAAAAACCAAATGATTTAATGTCTTAAGTGATGATAAGTGGTGCAACCTTAAGTTATGATACCATTCGATCTATCGCTTTTTCTTTATAGATCATGATTTTCAAATGAAAGCCTATCAACTTAAGTGAGTCATACTAGAGAGGAAGAAAGGCTATTTTTTTTATATATCCTTTATAAATAAATTTTATCCTTTTTTGTCCCATTTTGACCCTTTGATAATTTCTTTTAATAAAAACCTAGACTAGGGTCACCTCTCAAATTAGAGGCGTTTGAAGATGTATAAAACAATGATGTTTTCCTAAGAAGTAGAGATTTGATTCACAAGAATTGAGAATAGCCTTGACATTATTCCGGAACAATGGAGTAAAAAAAAACAACACTAAGTGAAAAAAGTGTTATTTAAGTGGTCCCTATCGTGATTTAGAGCTAGAAAAGGTTTTGGAATCTAATAAATGCTATGAGTGAACATGAGAAGGAGAACTGAGATTAGAAAATGAGATCAACAATTAAAATGCCAAAGTCGGTACGACCAAGCCTAAAATAATTTAGATGGATGATCACGTGATCCCGAGTCTTTATACCCTTAAACACCTTTTGAGCCTTTTTATTTCCTTTTGTTCATAAGCCAAAGCCTTAGCCTATATTACGTGTCTTCAAAAGACCTTTTTGATCGAGGATGACTTGCTTTGTGTTGATAAGTTTTAACTTCAAAAAAAATTATTACTTGTGTGTCATGAATCATCATTAATGGTATTAGATTACTAGTTTTCCATTAAATACTTAAAGGCAAATGAAATCAAGATCTTTCTAACCAAAACTATCTAATTGAGCCTAATTTTCTTAAAAAGCCTTTGAACCCAAGAAACTGCTCGAGCCTATCTAAAAAGCCTCTAAGTAAAAAAAAAAAATTGTTTGACCCTACCTTTTTTTTTCTTTTTTGAAAAGCCTTTGAACCCGGGACATCCATTCGAATATCTTACTTCCTTTGAGCCAACATTCGACACCTATCTTTCCAAAAGTGATTCCTTTTCAAGCCTTTGATATGATCCGAATACATTCCACTCACTTAGCCTAAAAATGATCACCTTGAGGATTGTATCATGATATTTGTGTGATATGTTTTAGCTTTCAATCAAATGAATCAAATGCCTTATGAATGAGATTACATTCTTGTAAACATCTCTTTGATTTCTTTTGAATAATTAAACTTGCTTTGATAGAAATTATTTGAATATACGACATAATCTATGAAAGTCAAAAAAATCAAAAGTTAAGTCTTCTAAAAAAATCAAAACCCAATCAAGTCGACTTCATTTTTATCCGAGCAACAAAGAAGTTGTTTGAGTTATGGCCAAATTCATTATAGCAATCATTTAAACTTCACTTATCTTATTCTTGCTTTGCCCAACATGACATGATTTGCCCTTTTACCTTTCAAAATAGCTTGATATGATCAATCCCTATAAAACCTTTTCCTTGGTCAAATACACGATCCCGTGAGTGATATTATTTGTGAAAAATGATGTTACAAGTAAATCGATAAATGATAACATGGTAAAAGTTTTGCTTAGGTTTGGTAGACATAGAAGCTTTCTTTATGAAACTAGGTATAAGGTCTTTCCCGACGAATTAAGAAGGCGGCGATGAAAATTATCTCCATGATTTATAGGTCAAAATTTTTTATATGTACCGACAAAAGCCCGAACACTAGGGGGCAATACTCTAAGAGAGTGAAAGAACGAACAACTACCTACCTAATCATAGGAGCACATGCCATTCGGATAACATGAACAAGTAGCTCTGGTCAAAACCTAAAAAAAAAAAAAAAGAACGTAATCGAAGAGATGTGATAAAACAAACAGAAATCAACAGGAGCAGCTAGCCTAAAACCTCAAGCCTATTCACATGATGATCACTTGCAAATGAGGAGAGGGGGGGAGTTTATGTTTTGGAAATGAAAATTTATGTTGGTTCAATGACAACTAGGTATGTCATTTATACTCCCGCGAATTAACTTGTTTGTTTGTTGATTGATTTGTTTGTTTACCACTTTTCTATGATCTTCTTTACAAGTTTACTATGCAAAGCCAAAGAAAAATCAATTTTTCAATGACTTCGTGTTGTAAGCATTATAAAAAGGAGGCAACTCGTTAGTACCTAAAATTTTCCTCAAAAAATAAAAAAAATTACAAAAAAGAAAAAAAGGGATTAAAAAATAATATAATCAAGGGATACAGCTTGCAAAATGAGAGAGAAAAAGGCCAAAATAAAACGAGTTAGTGAGATGAGGGACGAAATCAAACTTTAGCCAAAAATCCTAAAAACCAATATAAAAGCCACTTTTTTCTCAAAAAGTGGGACGATGGTTCACCTCTTTAAAAAAAAAAAACAACCCTACCGTAAGCCTCTACCCACAACCACACCAAACACGTAACTCTCCCTCGCCATAGCTCGTCGATGCTAGACCACCACTCGCACCTCCACCAACCACGGCCCTCGGCCCCTCTATCTACCCCACACACGACCGTCGTAGCACCGGCCCATGCCCCGACCTCGCTGCAAGAACCTCCAATGTGCACCTCGAGTACCGGCCCATGCCCCAACTCGCTCGCAACGGCCTCCGAGTGCACGGCTTGACCCTCCAACACTCACCCATGCTTATAGCAGCTCGTAAGCCAACAAGTAACCGCCATAGCCAATCCCTCGCCTAAGTTACCTTTTGCCCAAGCACAAGCACCCCACACAACCCCTCTTTTACAAGCCTCTCTTGCTCGCAACACCTTTTCCGCCAAGCTCACTCCCTCATGCGTGTGCCCCTACCAACGCTCCAAGCCACCGAGTGCGTGCCCTTCCATCGCCAGCTTGCTTGCACGCCTCGAAGGCCGGTCCGCGTGTCCAGCCAACGCTAACACCAGGTGCCCAAGCCAACCGGTGCCGGTGTACCGCCTACATCTACCGGCCAATGCCCGCGCCCGAGCCAACCGGTGCCAACACCGGCCTGCGCCAACGCCAACACCAACTCCTAAGCCAACCAAGTGCCGGCGTCTATGAATAAGAGCCGGTGCCTACCAACGGCCTCGGAGCGCCTCTAGCGACCACCGAGCCAAGCATTTTAGATCCGACAGCAGCCTACTCTTAGTCGTCTTTCCTTCTTGGTTGGCTAAATATTAATCTCCATCGGGCTTGAAAAGAGTCCGAATGATCCCAAATTTAATCGACTAGTCTCCCTCTTTTGTTTTTTATATTAATCTTTTTTTCACTTTTCATTTTACTTTATTTATTTATTATTTTAACATGTATTATATGTGATTTGTATCAATATGTGCATGTAATCAATTAATTGATTGTATTATGTAATTAATTTGCTCTATTGTTCCTATGTAATTTATTTGAATTGTGGTGATGTGTATTGTTGATTTTGCAACTTGGTGAATAATGTGGTTGTTTGGACTTTAGGATACTCGCTATTATTCAATACATGTATTTTTTAATGCTCCTTACGTGGTAATTTTATAAAAAAAGGAGACACAACATTGAATCAAGTTTAAACTTTTTTAATATAAATCTGTTTTCATCACATAATAAATTATGTACGTTAAGATAACTAGTTTCGTCGATTTTTGTTTCTTTTGTCAATTTTGTTCGATTGTCAATTTTCGTCGATTTTTACCTATGATTGCTTACGTTGTCGATTTTTACTTTACTTTTGCCTTAATTATCGATTTTTGTCGATGATTTCCTAAATTGCCAATTTTACTTATTTTTGTCTTAATTGTCGATTTTTGCCTATAATTGTCCGAATTGTCGATTTTTAATTATTTTTGCCTTAATTGTCGACTTGTGCCTATGATTTTCCGAATTGCCCATTTTTACTTTTTTTGCCTTAATTGTTGATTTTTGTCTATGATTGCTTGAATTGTCAATTTTACTTATTTTTGTCTTAATTGCTAATTTTTGCCTATGATTGCTTGAATTGTCGATTTTTACTTATTTTTTCCTTATCGATTTTTTCCAAATTGTTGATTTTTGTTGTTTTTGCTAACTTGTCGATTTTTTCCTATTTGTCAATTTTGTATATTTTGCCTATTTGCCAATTTTTTATCTATTTGTCGATCTTTGCCTATTTACCAATTTCACCTATTTGTCGATTTTCACCTAATTGCCTATCTGTCAATTTTCTCTATCTCGCCAATTTGCCTATTTGCCAATTTTGCTAATTTGTCGATTTTTCCATTGTTCGCCTGTTTGTCTATTTTTGTCAATTTTGTCAATTTTTTCTATTTGCCTATTTGTTGGTTTTGTTAATTTGCCTGTTTTATCTCGTTTGCCTATTTTCTTATTATTTTTAAGTTTTGTTTGCATGCACACTTGTCTAAATTGTATTAATAGCACATCCTTGCATTCATCATTTTTCAACCATCCATTATAGATCGAGGATAAGGTCTCCGATCGGCCAAGTCCCAAATCACTCAACTAGTGGCCAAATGCTTGAAAAATAAGTATAACCTTTCATCATTAAGAATCGAAATCAAGTCACTTTTGTAAGTAATGCAGCTTGCCTTAAGCGGGACGAGGTAGGATAATCTTTAATCTTCCCTACACGTAATAAACTCCTTATCCGAACTCTAAATAGACCGAGTAATAGGGTTTCTTAGTAATCTTAATACTAGGTGGCGACTCTAATTATTTTTACCCATTTTCCCTATTTTCACCTCAACTCATCGCTATCGCCACCGATGTTACCCTACGACAAAAAATCACTATTCATGCATCAAAAAATTAACAAAATATTCACTAAGTATGGAAAAACCATTTTAATTACTATGAATATTCTAACAACATTTTAGGAATCGATCCATGCTCGCAAAACATTTTCCATATGCTTTTAACATCCTAAAATTATTAAATAATGATTTTACAAGTGTCGGTTGTTACAATCTATGCTTGTATGTTTTGTGTGTGCTCGTATGTGCGAGTGCGGGTATTGTAAGTGGTGTAGGTTCGGGGATTGGCTGGCCAATTTTTCTTTCTTGCATGTTGTCTTCATTAAAGAAGATAAAAGGTGCCAAAGGATGGTGGAAGTATAGGAGCATGTTGGGATGTTGCTTGGAAGGACCCGAATGATGGGTCGTTTAGGCGATTGTGAATTGGTCATGTTGTTCACGTCTTATGGCAAATCAATTCCTTATAGGTTTAATTTTGTTTCAATTGTACCATCTACGTGTGTCATTGTAGTTCCTATGCTTTTAATTTCTCTAATTAAGTCCTTGTATCCGATAATTTTAGTCATAAGGTTTTCATTTACTTTAATCGTACCCTTAATTTTTTTATTGTTAATTCAATTATGCCCCTAATATAATTAATTTTTTTATTTTATAGTTTATAATTTTTTTTGTATTTTTAATTTTCCCTTTTTTTGTAGTAAAATAAAATAAAATAAAATGAAAAATAAAAAATAAATAAAAATAAAAACTAAAAAGGATAAAAAAAATGGAGGAATATATAATCCAAAATTTAGGTTATTATAGTTGCCTCCTATGTATAATGCTCACGGTACAAATACTAGCCAAAATATGAACTTTATATTAGATTTTCTTTGTGAGCTTGTAAAAAAAAAAAAAAAAGAGTAAATTGAGTAGCAAAAAATAGTCTAATTGTCTCGAATAAACGAGTCTTAAAGAAGTGAAATGCAACGTGATGGCCTTGTTCTCAAGGATGACCTATCTTAAAAGGTAAGATGTGATAGCCTCATTTATGCAAGGTGGCTTGCCTTAAAAAGTAAAATGTCTCGCTAGGTAACTCTACCTAAAATGATAAACAAGGTAGGAAACCCTTCCTAAAACAAAAGATGATCACTATGCAATCATATTGAAACAATTAACTAAATTAGACAATCCTGTTTGGAACCGAGAAATAATTGCTAGGCAACCTTACCTAAAATAAGAAGTGATCGTTAGGCAATTTTTCCTATAATGACAAACTAAGTTAGGCATCTCTATATGAAATGAGACTTACCACTAGATGATCTTGCTTAAAATGACAAACCAAGTTAGGTGACCCTATCTAAATATGAGAATTAATGCTAGGCAACCATACTTATAATGAGGAATTAAGGTGGGTAACTCTGCTTGAATACGAGAAATGATCGTTAGGAAACTCTTCCTAAACGATGAACTAATTTAGCCGATCTCGCTTAAAATAAGAATGATCGATAGACAATCTTACCTAAAATGATGAACTAATTTAGGTGACCTTGCCTAAATATGAGAATTATTACTAGGTAATCCTTCCTGCTGAAGGATCATGCATCCTATAGAGGTACATAATAAAAAAAAATTTACTCCACCTAAAGGGCCCAAGATCATGCTATTAGTGTAGGTGCCCAAGATTCAACCATGTTTGAATGGGCTTGAATTAATGTATTATTGCATTATTTATTTTAATACTAATAATAAAGAAGTCATTCTATTAATTCTTATGTTTTATGTTTGTAAATTCAATAGAATTAGAGAGAAGTCCTTATGATATGCATGCAATAGTGATTGATCGAAACATGTGAGACAAACACTAATAGATATAAATGATATCATTAAATGTCCCAAGTCACAACATTGTCAAAATAGAAATTGACTATATGTGGATAGACTTGTGAGTGCTATGCTCATGTTATATGATAGCAGTAGGAGATCTCACACTCGTTGGCATAGTGATGCCAAAGCAAGCACTTAGGTGATTCATGTTAGAGAACATATCACCTGGACTTGACTCGCCATAAGAACCCATTTGATTTTAGTCTATAGGAATCTCATATAAGATGGGTACAAATGATCCTTAGACTTGAAGTCATCATGATTGTCATATTAAAGGACTAATGCACTCGACACTCGGTTTCAATGAACCCATTAAAGGGTTGCATGTGGACGATTAGTTGGGTGCACTAAAGATCTAATGGAGATAGGTGCATGACTAAGATAGGACATGTAATTTCTTATATGCTAAAGAAGTTATCACATTGCACTTTGATAAATGTTTGCGCGAGAAATCTATTGCCATAGTTGGAGTACACCAATAGAGCATAGTTGGTTTACTCTAAGAGCTAAGACATTTAGGAATCGCGAGAAAACTTATGTTATCATAATTGAACAAGACTTATAACCAAGTTTGAGATCACACGGTGATAAGTTGACATGAGGACTGAATTGTATGGTAACCATGCTCGTGAAAGGTAATAATAGATTAATTAATCCTCTTAGAAAATTGGGTAGTTATGATGTCTTGCTAGAGGCCAATTATAACATCATGCTTGCTACTATGACATTGGAGCATAAACACCAACATAAAGCTTACAAGCTTTTGACATCATAACAAAGCCTAAAAGCTTATTTGAGGAGAATACTAGGCATGAGCACTATGAGATAACAAATAAGCTCTTTAAAGCTAGAATGGATGAGGGATCGGATGTCGAAAAGCATGTTACTGAAATGATAGGCTATATCGATAGACCGGTCAAGCTTAAAGTCGAATGGATGCTGAATTATCCATTAACCTAGTATTGCAATCGTTGCCTAATAGCTATAGACAGTTCATCATGATCTTCAATATGATGCACATGCAAAAGACTCTTAGAGTGTTATTGTCCATGGTGAAGGAAGCTTAGCCCAAAATTAACAAGAAGAACAAAATTTCTATACTTTTAGTTAATAAGGGAAAGGGAGTAGTAAAGGGCAAGAAAAAGCCAAAGAAGAAGAAGAAGTCTTCAATCGCACCTACTTGGAGGATTGAAAAAGGTCAAAGCTCAAATAGCCCAAAGGATGTAGTTTGCTTTCATTACAACAAGAAAGGAAAGTGCAAATACAAAAAGTACCTAGAAGAGGTATAAAAAAAGAGTTATACCACCACCTCGGGTATTTATGTTATTAATTCTAATCCTTTTATTTCTAAATTCCACCTCATGAGTATATGATACTACATGTGGTGCTTACATTTTTGAAATGTATAGGAGTTGAGAAAAGGAAGGAAGATAGCTTCAAGGGAGAATATCTA